GGCACAACGGTTCCCGAGACTCAGTTTTCCCAAGAGTAAGAACTGAAGACGAAAAGCAACACGCCCTGACCGTTTCGAGAGACAACGAAGTAGGTCATGCGGTCCCACTGGGTTGATGGCCTTTCTTGACCGCTGGAACGTGATGGGGGAAAGGCTCCGAAGTCTCCAGTCATCCCAATGCCGCGGACAGGCCGTAACGCCAGGGCAGTCCGTGAACGCTGGGTCCATTTCGGCGTTCACGTCGACGGTTACATGCCCAGAAAAGAACAAACGGCGCCCATCACCATGGACGGCAAATGCGGCACTCAGTCGATGATCAATTGAGCGAGGAAGGAAAACGGCGTCGACTGCGCCGACATTGGGGCGTAATCTGCCCGCGTACGGCCGCTCGCGTAAGCGCCCTATTCTCCACGCGGTGTGTCACGTTGGCAGCCCGCGTAAGCCGCGGGGTATGGTCGCTAGGTCTTCTCGCACAAAGTACCCCTGTTCGTGCGGTGCGACCACGTCCGCCTTGGGCGGCAATTGGGATCGAGGGAAGAAACACAACGAGCGGAGTTGTCCAGGAGCCCTTGGAAGTTCGAGGTTCGAGGTTTTCGATGCGTGTTCGTCGGTTCTCGGCGGTCTCCCAGCCTCGGGAAGCTTTCCAACAGCTGCGCCTTGCTGAGCACGCTCCGGAGGTGCTCGGATCGTCCCGAATGGCCGCCAGAGAACCGAGTGATGGCCCGAAAACCACGGGGCAACATTAGACACAACAACCACGATGATCATGACAAAGATGTCGCGAGAACTTTGGTTAAGTTCCATTCTGGCCGTTGCCGATTCGCGAGGATGATCCACGAACTGGCGCTGACCAAGATGGACGGTAACCGAGATGCCCACAACGTTTCCGTGTTCAGTCTTGGTCGTCGTCCCCGTTTGTCAGGATCGTTTAACAGGTCCCCATCCCCACCGGGCCATGGTATCTCAGCCCCCGCACCATCCCACCACCCCAGTCGGGGATAGGCCCCGCGAAACCCGCAGGGAACAGCCTGTATCCCACCTAAATCGCGTGTGTGGCCCATGCCACGCTAGTGGGTTCTCTAGCAAATCATGTGAGCCTCGTATGCAGTCTCATTTTCGTCTTCAGAATGCATCAGAGTCGCTGAACGTCTCGTAATCGAAGGGATGGCACAGGTTGAGCGTCGACTGGTGTCGATTTAATTTCGATCAGCGTTGATTCGCAAGAGCCAAAAAGATGCAATGGGAGGATCCCGTGAGTTGCCACCGAAAGTCGGGATATTGATCGGTTGAATTATCCTCAGTGCCCATCCCATCCAGTACAGTAAAGACGCTGCAACCAAGACCGCTTTGGGTTCGGAAGGGGTTCGTTGTTCCTTGGGTCGTTCGGCGATGGTTTTTCTAGTTTTCCTCGTGCACCCAGGCCCTTCTGGCGCCACAAGGGGGCTTCGTTTCTTAATCAGCGTTCCTTCTTGCAGCAGCCCTCCAGTACGGTAGGTTCGCGTCGTGTCGATTGGCGGCGACCCCGACGCCGGCGTTCAACATTAAACGCCTGCGGCGGCCCAGATTCGGTCGAGGTTGAACGATCCCCGCGGCGTCAGGAACCAACTCGCAGGTCGACACGGCCTGAACTTGCCGTAGCGGCGGCGACAGCGATGACGTCGATGCTTGCGGTAGCGTCGGCGGCGGCGGCGGCGGCGGCGGAGGCCATCAAGCAGTGGCGAAGTGTCCTGGCTCGCCTCTAGTCCTACCAAACAATGTTCTAAGAACCTTTTTTGTGGTTTCCACGAAATGTTCTTAGAGCATTTCTGGCGGAGTCTGTCTTGTTGTACCACATCGGGTTTATGTTCTAAGAACATTGTTTTTGTTTTTCAAACATTTCTGGGTTCTAAAAACATTTCGTGGTAGGACTGTAGGAATGCCGGGACGGTCGGTCCCTGCTCAAGGCCAGCGGCAGCGGGCGGAGGCGGCGGGGGGAGCATCGCCCGCCCGCGGAGGCGCGCGGCATGGCCCGGCGGCGGCGCGCGGCGCCGCGATGCACCACCGCCGGGAGGGCGCCGACGGGCTCGAGGAGCGCCCCGGACGGGAGCCACGATCGGTGGCTTAAAGATCATCTTTGATGGGCTGGGGTCACTTTGTTGCGTCGGCGGCTAGGCAGAGGGTGACTGCGCTGGCGATGGGAGGCTTAAACGGGGATGCCGTTGGAGCGTCAAACGGGGGTGCCGAGGAGCGCCCCGGGCGGGAGCCACGCTCGTAGGGCAACGAAGAATGACAAACATAAAAACTCGGAGGTCCACGAGGACTTCTCGGATATGCGCTGGACTCCCCTGGCGGCGCCTCTGGCGCCGCGTTCAGCGCGCTCCGCGCGCCAGGGAGGGGGGTCAGCGCGGATCCGCGAAATCCGCGGGGACCTCTGAGTTTTCACGCTTATGTCATTATTCGCTTCCCTAACATTCGGTGGTTCAAAGATGGGTTCCTGAGGGATGGGGACACAAGGATGGGAAGGGATCCAAGGTTGGACTTGCGCCGTTGGAGGCACCTCGTCCTCACGGCCCCGTCCCTCAGGATCCCAGTTTTGAGCCACCAACACGTGAGCGACGGAGGGAAACGGGGTCGTCTTCACCGACGTGGGCGCGTAAGCTGCCCGCTCTAGGTCGCGCGTGAGCGCCCTCGTTGTCGATGTAGCCTGTGGTGGCCCGCGTAAGCTGCGGCCTAAGGTCGCGACGCCACCTCGCCGAAGTCAGGGCCAGCGGCAAGCCCAGCGGGGAAATTACGAAGGTGTCGGGCCTTCTCACGAGGATCGCCCCGGGCGGGAACCACGCGGAGCTTTGGGGCAACGTCGGGGTCGCGGCCCCACAACCGTGCGGTGACGGACCGCGTGGTGACCAGACTTTCCAATTACCTCACCGCGCCGTCCGCCACCGCCCGAGCCTCAAAACCGTGTGGGTTTCCCGCATCCCCGCTGACTCACCACGCGGTGTGGCCACCACTCGGACGGGGCTGGGACGAGGATTCATCCGCTCAGCGTTCCGCAACGCTCTGAGAAGGCCGCGGTGCCCGAGACATCCTCCAGAACCGCCAGATGTCAGAGATTCTCGATTTGTCCTCACCTGAATGGGTCCTCGTCCTGGCTTCGTCTTAAACGCATTTTTTGGGGGGGGGCCTACGTAGTTCACGCCGGCGGGGGGGGCGGCGCGCTGGGTGGCCCGGGCGAGCTGCAGCGAGGGCTCGCGCGGCGATTGCCGTGCCGTGGAGCAGATCGCTCTCCTCTTCCCCTCCTAACACTCCTCTGGCTCCTCCTGCTCCTGAGCCTCCTCCATCTCCTCCTCCTCCTCCTCCTCCTCCTCCTCCTCCTCCTCCTCCTCCTCCTCCTCCTCCTCCTCCTCCTCCTCATTCCTCCTCATCCTCCTCATCCCTCTCTCCCTCGGGCGGGCCGCGGGTCTTCGCCGCCGAGCACTTTGAATTGGTGCCGGCGCGCGCCACCAACGCTCAGCGCCGGCCCCTTCAGGACGGCCTTTGCACCAGACAACAGCCATCTTAAGGGGGGTGGGACGCGCCGGCCGGGGCCTATACCTGGCGCTACCTGGGAGGACCTCCCCGCCAGTGTGCCCTCCAGCGCGGCCCCAGCCAGTGCGCCAGGCGCCCCCAGCGCCCCCCAGCCCGCCGCGCCGCGCCCAGCCCCGTCGGCGTCGCCAGTAGCGCGGCCAGCCGCCCTGAGCGCGCCCAGCCGTCACCCGGCGCTGGCCTGCGCCCGGGCCAGTTCAGTTCGGCCAGGTGGCTTTGTCTCTCCCTGGTCGAGCTCCAGGAGCGCCAGCCTGGGCGGCGCCCCGCGGGCGCCCCCGCTGGGCCAGCAGAGCCGCTCCTAGGCGAGGCCCGCTACCCGGCGGCGCTGCAGGACGAGTTTGAGCTTGCACCGCGCAGCTGACCACCCTGTAGGCTCGGCCAGCTCCGCGGGCTGGCTGTCGGCAGGGAGCGTGCGCACCTGCCTCGGGAGCCACTGCCCGGCTTCTCCGCCCAGGCGGCCCGGGGTCTCAACCAGGAAGGGGCCATTCTGCCCGGCGGGCGGCCTCGCCAGCGCGGCGCGCCGCCACTGGCGCCACGTCGTCGGCGGCGGGGTGGCGGACCGACACGGTCGATCCAGTGCCGGCCGGCCCCCTCGTGGTCTTCCACATCGAGGACTGCGCGCTCAACCAGGTCCGCGTCGGGTGGGTCCCGTGGCCGCCGGTGGCGCGCCCGATCCCACGTCGGGACGCGCTGCTCCGTGAGCGGTTCCTGGTGCAGCCAGCGCCTGACCAAGCCAGCGACCTGTGCTCGAGGCTGCCGTGGCGGCGCTCGACGCCGCCGCCCAGCGCGCAGGTCGTCGCGTGCGTGCCCTGCTCGTCCAGCGGCTGGCCGCACGGCGCGCCGCGGGCCCCCTGGGCAGCTCGGCGGTTCTGGCAGGTCTGCGCAGCGGCCTGCCGCTCGGCCTGTGCACACTCGGCCTGGGGCAAGTGCAGTCGGGCGCGGTAGGCTGCGGCCCAGAGCCCGTCCTCCATGGAGCAAGCAAGGTCGGTTGGGTAGCCGAGGAAGGCTGCGGCCCCAGCCCCCCCAGCCTCTAGGAACGTCGCCCTCTCATGCTGGTGCGAACGCTGCCGCAAGGCAGCGTGGGTTGTCTGTTGCACAGCTTGCACGAGAGTGCTCTGCTTTCCTGGGTCCTCCCAGGGGTCCAGCAGGGAGGCGTCCGGCGCAGGGTCTGCGCCCTGGAGGGAGAGCTCTGTCCGAGCCTCAGAAAGGGCCTCGCCCAGGTGCGGCACGGCGTCCAAGAGCTCAAGCAAGGTCGGCGCGCCGAGGTCCGCAGCCACGCTGGACGCGCAGGCGGTCCAGCCCGCCCAGAAAGCCGCAGCCCGCCTCGTCTTGGCCCATGCACTGCATTCCAGCTCCGCCAAGCTTCTGCGGGAGACCCAAGATCTCACGCGCCGCGGCGTCCAGGGGCCGCTCGGCCAGCTCCTCGCGGTGCCCTGCCAGCGTCTCGTCGTAGTGCTTGGCCTCTGCCTCGCTGGCGAGCTGCGCGCGCAGGACACACTGGCTCGCAGCGCCGGCGCTAGTGCGCAGCAAGCTCCCAATCGCCTGCCGCGACGGGCCGTGCTCGCCTATTGCGCTCTTGCCCAGCGGCTGGAGGGCCCTCCAGAGCTCCGTCAGGCGCCCCGTCGCGTGCTGGAGGCTGCTGTTCTGGCCCAGCTCAAAGGGCGCGTCACGTCGCCCTGCGTCTTCAAGTGCGTGCCGAGCACGGGGAGAGCCGGCACGAAGCGCGGCCGAAGCTCAGGGGGAACCGCCAGTAGCCCTCCTGGAGACCAGACCTGCGTTTTCCGCTCGTTCAGCTCCAGTCCGAGAGGGGCCAAGAGTTCTCCCAGGCGCTGGAGAGCGGCTCGGCTGTAGCGTGCTGCGCCGGGAGCACCAGGTGTCGTCCAAGTAGGAGTAAAGTATCACGTCTGGGTCCAAGCGAGAGAGCTCCTCAAGCAGCTGGGCGAGCGCCGCCCTTTGGCCAACGGCGTAGGCAGCTGGCGACAGCGGGTCCCCTTGGTCGAAGCCGAGCACGCTGTCGACCTCTTCGAAGTTGCCCGCCGCGTCGCGCCAGAGGTGCTTGGCCGACCCAGAGTCAGAGTACTAGGCGTCGAGAACCCACGCGATCTCCAGCACGGATGGCCGGCTCGCGGCGCAGGCGCTGGAAGGCCGCCTTGATGTCCACCTTGATGAACACCATGCCCGGGTGAGCGTTGCACTGCACCTATAGAGCTGCTCGACCACCAGGTCGCCGCCGCATCTCCGGCCAATTTCGTACTGGTGCCGGCCGGCCGCCTGGCGGAGCCTGGCCTTTTGGACACGCGCCAACGCTCGCATCCCCAGCCGACGCAAGCTGGCCCCGACAAGCAGCGGGCGGACATCTCCGTGCCCCTTCTCCAAAGTCACCAGCTCGCCCACTCGAAGAGCTTGGAGCACGGGCCCCAGCACCTCTCCGAAAGTAAGACGAGCGGCCTGGGAAAGCAAGACGAGCGCCTCGGGGTCGCCCGCCGCCGTGGAGAGGCGTTCAGCCGGGCCCCAAGCAGGCCCGGGGCGGTCAGCGGGGCCGGCTTCCTGAGGAGGTTCCCCAGCTCTTCCTGCACCTCGTCCCAAAGGTCTGGGTCGGGAGCGGTCCCGCGCCGGGCGGCGGGAGGAGCGTCGCCGTCGGATGCTGGGGGGAAATCTGGACGCCCGAAATGGGTACGGAAAGAATGGGTACAATGCCCAACAGCAGTTCCTGTTCATTTTGAACAGGACTCGCTGTCCGCGCCGCCGCGGCCTGTGCCCATTCGAGACAGAGGGCCGCCTGCCCAACAGCGGCCGCTGTTGGTTTGGGGCAGCATTTGTTGTTGGGCATGGTGCCCATTCTTTCCGTACCCATTTCGGGCGTCCACAGGAAAGAGGCGCGCAGCTTCTCCAGCGTGCCGCGGCTGCGCGGCGCCAGCGGGGCACCCCGCGCAGCCCCCGGCGCCCGCCCTTCCTCGCCCAGCCGCCCGCCGCGGCAAAAGCGCGGACGCGCCGCGCCCGGCTGCTCCGGGCGCGGGCCAGCGACCGGAGGCGCGGAACGGCCCGACGCGTCTCGCCTTAAGGCGGGCCTGTCCCCCTACAGAGAGATTTTCGACGAAAAATGCAACATAGCCCCCAAGATTGAACAAAAATGGTCAAACAGTTGTCCAAAAATAGTACCCGGGCTATTTTTGGATTATTGTTGGATCATGTTTGGGGTATCTCTTATTTTTCGTCGAAAATCCCTCTGTAGGGGGACAGGCCCGACTTAAGTCTCCCCAGAGAGCACCCCACTGGCCACACCACCACCATACCAAGCGTTCCTCGAGAGCCTCGGCGTTGGTGGCCTGCCCGGCGGGCCGGGCCAGAAGCAGCGCGCCAAAAAGGAGCAGCGGCTTCCACTCCTGCTCTGGGTCCCCCCTCACAGCTGTCGCCGTCATGACCTCTAGCAGCTTGAGGCGGGCGGTCACGAAGGCGTCCCGGAACCGATCTGGCACCTGCACGAAGGTAGGGGTGCCGATGCGCACCACCGCTCAGCCACGCGCAGAGGGGGTGGGGGGAGGGCTGCTTAGAAGTACCCCTGCTTCTTAGAAGGCGCGGGCCTTATATATAGATGCAATGCCGGCGCCTTCTAAGAAGCAGCCTGCTTCTAAGAAGCCCTCCCCCCTGCCCCCACCCCCTTGTGCGCGCCGCCAGACCGCGGTCCATGGGAGGCGCTCCCACCACCCACGGTTGGGGAGCACGTCGTTGTCCCAGTCATCGTGGAGTGGCGGCGGCAGCGGGTCGGCTGCCGCCTCACCCGGCCCCTGCTGCGGGGGGCGCGTCGTCGCCATCCAGGCCAAGGCCGCACGCGCCGGCTCCACATGGTCTTCGGTGGTGTGTCCCTCTCTCCCTCTCCTCCTCCTCCTCCTCCTCCTCCTCCTCCTCCTCCTCCTCCTCCTCCTCCTCCTCCTCGTCCTCCTCCTCCTCCTCCTCCTCGTCCTCTTCCTCCTCTCCTCCTCTCCTCCTCCTCCTCCTCCTCCTCCTCCTCCTCCTCCCCCTCCTCCCCCTCCTCCCCCTTAGGGGCGGAGGCGGCCAAGAGATGGGGGGGATGGCTTGGGGAGGGGGGGCGCGTGCGGCCGGCGTGCGCCGCGAGGGCGTCGCGCGGCGCGCGCGCGCGATGGTTGTCAGACGTGTCCCTCGAGCTACCTGTCGGCGGCTACATGGGGGTATGGTTACGCCTGGATTTGGTTTGCGGTTGGGATCGTTGGGGCCTGGGGGGCACGCCGTTGTCCTCGTCGGGCTTCCTCGAGGCGCGGCGGGGAACTGTATCGAAGTCCCCGGCCGCCCCCCCAGGGGTCCCCAGGGTGCCGGCTGCAAACTAGGCCCTTTGCAAAAAAAACGCCCTTCAGAGTCGTCGAACTTGGAAGTTGCGGACAAGTCCAGCATCGGGAGCGACCGAGAGAGGAGGGGGCGTCGGCTGGGGTGGGGATATCATGGCTGGGGCAACGAAATCTTTGCAGATCTGATGGCCCACACTTCTTGCTCTTCTTATTCTTAGTACTTAAGTATTATCAGCAGTACTAGAAGCATTCTTAATGTAGGATGACGATGAATAAATAAGCGGGCGTCGTGTTGCGTCGGCGGCGCCCCGAAGGATGATTAGAACAAACCGGCCGAGGGCTGGGATTTTTTTTTGGTTATCGTTCCCCCCCGCCAAACTCGGGCGCCCGCCCGGACAGCCGTGGACGTGGACGGTGTATTTGACGTAACATTTGAATCCGACGTCAAATGAGCATTAGACATAATGTCTGGAGCCGACGTGGAACGAGTATGTGACGTAAACGTTTGAAGCCGACGTAGAATTGGTGTTTGACGTAATATTTGAAGTCGACGTCGAATGTTTATTGAACGTAAAATTTGACGACGACGTGAAACGAGTAGTCGACGCAAGATTCGAAGCCGACGTGTAATAGACGTATCTTTTATTCGTCCCCTTCCCGTTGAAAAATCATATAGAAATCAAAGACCATGTGTTTAATCGTTCCCCCTATGTTTCATTGACCGTAATCCTGCTTTATTAGTTGTATTCTTACTAGTTCTACCAGCATAATTTATTTCGTAGTGCTGTCGTCTAAATATCATTAGTGGTGTCCTGTGTTTCGTAGTCTGCTCCGCATTACTATTCTTAATGTCTTCGTAATAGTAGTATTATGAGTGTGTGTTGCATTACTGTCAGTATTGTGATTATTGGTCTTAGCATAATTCGTAGTATTCGCATTGTGTTTAGTATTAGTTGTAGTAGTACCAGTATCACAATTATTAGTAGTGTTATTCGTGTTGCTTTTATTATTCTTCATTCATGGCCCCTACGGGAACGAGCACTGTCCAGGGCTCGAAGTGAGTACCGACAGATTGGGCAGTCCCTTGCCCACTTTGAACCAGACTCGCAGTCGGCGTCGCCGCGGATGTTGTTCATGTGAGACGGACAGTCGCTTGCCCAACAGCGGCCGCTGTCAGTTTTGGGCGACAAGTGTTAATAGGCATCGTACCCATTTTTTTCCGTACCCATTTCGGTTGTGCCAAGGGGCGGGGACCATGTGGAGCTCAGAGGCAACGTCTGGGGGGGGTAGGCTCCGGGAGGGGGGGCGAGACGGGGAGGACGAGGAGGGCGCGGGTTTTCATACGTTGTCGTCGGCTCCTGAAAGCTCCCCGGCCTCGGAACACTCTCCGGCAGTTGCGCCTCGCCGAGAGCGTTCTCGTGGTTGCCTGGATCTTCCCGAACTACCGCCGGAGGCTCGAGCGGTGGCTTGAAATTCACTGAGGATGGGGATGGGCTCAGGGGGTGATGCGTCGACTCAAATCGCCCACTCATCGCCGATAGACGTGCGAAATCGCAATCTGGGGCCTGTCGCCGATCTATCGGCGATTTATCGTCGATTCCTGTTGCTTCCCTCTCTCAACTGGTACCCTGTACCGTTGCCCTTCATGCCCAGGCGCTCGGCACGCACAGGCTGTCCCAGCTTGGCGCTAGCTTGGGTTCAGCCCGTCCCTGAGGTTTTTGATGGTCGAGGGTTCTCCTCTTCCTCGCAGAGCAAACAGGGGGATTCGCGTGCGTCCTATCCTTCGTTGTAACGCTGGGCAGTGGTGCGAATTCGGTGCTGACTCCGCACTAGACGATCTCACGGCAACGCAGCAGAAGTCAGAGCACTCGTTGTTTTATCAGCGCACGGGCACCCGTTCAGAAACTACCGCTTTCGTGCCAACAGCTGCGGTGAATGGACACACGTGGAAGCATGCGCGAGCGAAGACTGGAGGCAAAGAGAGGGGAGGATCGGGACGACACTCAGGCCCCCTCCGCCCCACCCGTGGGTCCATGTCGTGCGCCCCGCGAGCTCTCCCCCGCGCGGCTGCCTCGCGGCCTCAAGACGGCAGGCGCCGAGCAGGGATGGGGCCGGCTGCCCCGGCAGGGCGCGCGGGAGTCCTGGATCGGAGTTGCCCCCTGGTTGCGCCTGCGGCGCCGCCCTTGCCTCGTCCCGCGCGCCAGGGAGGGGGATCGGCGCCGGCAGTTTTCACCAACGGGCGTTTAGCTACCGGGTGTCTTGTCTTATGATGTTCCAACCTGCTTTCGCCTTGACCACTAGAAAGAATTTCGAGCACCAAGAAATGCCGAAACTGAGGGGTTTCACGTGTCGGGCCCCGAGAGGCGATACTCGTTCGACACTGTTTCGATATTGTTTTGGGGTGCTCGAATTGTTTCTGGAATGTGGTCCTTAAGTACGATGGGAGCAATACAAGTCTTGTCACCTTCGATCCCGTCGCCACAGGCCTGCGCGCTTGAATTTGGCCTCCCCGCGACCCCCCCCCAGCTGCGCACCAAATGCCGCTCTTGCCTAGCTCGGCATCGCTCGGACGTGTGCATTTTTGATCGGCGAGGCCTGCGCCAGCAAACCTGGACCCTCTCGGAGCATCTCCAATCACCCAAAAGCTGGCTTTCCGTCGCGGCGCGGCAGAGGCGATCCGCTCGCGCGTCGGTCAACCCAGGCTACGGCGTTGCGCGCTGCCCCGCATGCATCAGGAGAGGAAAAAACACACAGACACAATTAACCGTCGATTCCCAGGAAGATATGGGAAAATATGGGAAGTGTGGGGGAAGACAGAAACCCCGAAAAGATGGGAAAATGTCGGGAATCTGTTTATTTGTGTGTATTTATTTGTGTGTCCTGGGGCCCCTTCAGTGCAGGATGGGGAGGGCCAAAGGCGGCGGGAGGCGGCCGCAGAGGGGGCTCAGCGGGGAACGGGGGCGCACGCGGCGGCGCCGCGGGGAGCCGCGCGCGGCGGCCGGGCTGCGGGGCAGTCCCCGGCAGGGGCCCGGTGCTTCGATGCTCATTTCGGGGACCTTCCTGGAGCCCACCTAATGGATCTGTTGGACCCCAGTTCGACGCTGCTTCGACTCAGGTTCGACTCAGGGTCGACCCAACTCGACTGACGTTCGACGCAGCTTCGACGCACGAATGGAGCGAGTGGCTCCAGGAAGGTCCCCAGAACGAGCATCCAACGGTGCGGCGTCGCGGGCGCACCCAGCAGCCGCAGTGCGGGCCGGGCCCAGCCTCAAGTCGGGCCTGTCCCCCTACAGGGGGATGTTCCACGAAAGTCAAAAATATACCCCAAACATGCCCCCAAAGGGCCAAACAGTGTTCAAAACATCGTCCCCGGACTATTTTTGGGACTCTCTTGGGGGTGTACTTTTGGTCGTCGAACATCCCCTCGTAGGGGGACAGGCCCGACTGAAGCCCAGCAGGCGGGGGGGGGGGGCCGGGAACCGCGGGCGGGCGGCCGGAGAGAGAGAGCGCCCGCGTGGCCAAGCGGTGGGCACGGAGGGCGGAGCTCCGAGCGAGGCCGGGAGCCGGGGCCCCCCGCGGCGCCGGGGCGCCCCGCCTGCGGCGTGGCCGGCCCTGCCCCGCCGGGCAGGAGGCCGGCGGGGGCCTGGCGGAGGCCGAGGAGGCCCTGAGGCTTGCACAGGCGCCTGCCGCCTCCCTCTCCTCCTCGCTCTCCTCCTCCTCCTCCTCCGCCTCCTCCTCCTCCTCCTCCTCCTCCTCCTCCTCCTCCTCCTCCTTCCCTCCTCCTCCTCCTCCTCCTCCTGCTCCTGCTCCTGCTCCTGCTCCTGCTCCCTGCTCCCTCCTCCCTGCCTGCGGAGGCCTGCAGTGGCGAAGCGTCCCGGCTCGCCTATAGCGACGATCGAACAACACGCACCCATGCCCATAGGGGGGGGCGGAGGAGGCTATGGGTGCGTGTTGTCGGATGGGGGTCCCCGCTCGAACGGGAGCTTCCCCCCCAGGGTCCGACAACTCGCACCCATGCCCATAGCCAGTTCCCCTCCTTTCGACCCTCCGATGGGTATGGGTGTGAGTTGTTCGCTCGTCATATAGCCCCACCAAACAATGTTCTAAAAACCTTGTTGTGATTCCCACGACATGTTCTTAGAACCTTTCTGGCGGATATATTGTCTTGTTTTGACACGTCGGGCTCATGTGCTAAGAACATTGTTCTTGTTCTTAGAACATTTCGTGGTAGGACTATAGGAATGCCGGGACGGTCGGTCCCTGCTCAACTGCCCCCCCCACCCCACTGCTCGCATCGTCGTCGTCGTCGTCGTCGTCGTCGTCGTCGGGGGTTCCTTCTCAGATGGGGAAGCGATGCCGATGCCGCTGCTCGTCTCGGCGGGCCCTCGTCGCCACGGCCTGATTCTCTCCGAAGTTCTGGTCACGATGCGCACGTGGAGAGGTCCGCGGAGCAGCGGTATGGGTGCAGTTTTGTCTTCGTTGTTCACGTCGTCGTCGTCGTCGGTTGCTGCGTCGTGTCGCTTCGATGAGGGGCCACGAATAGGGGGGCAGGTACAGGGGAAGTCCAGCAGGAACGGGAGGGTTTTCAACAGTTTTGGGTTCTCTTGTTGTCCGAGAGTTCCTGAAACCCAGAGCGGATCTCATCGGCTGGGCCTCGTCGAAGGCGCTCTCTGGGGTACCAGAGTAATCGTCCCGTACGGCCGCCGGACAGCCGAGTTGTGACCCGAATTGGGCGCCGCGTAATGGGGGGGTCGTAAATGGGGGGGTGGCGAGGGTGGTTCGAAAAGGTACCCAAACGGTACCTAAACGAGCCCCCTGGGGCTCTGGCGGGGGCCCGACAGGGGCACGAAAGGGGACCTTTTCTGACCCCCCCATTTGTGACCCCCCCATGAAGCCACGCCCAACCGAAAATTCAAGGGCAACGACGAGGGGGGGATGGGCCCAGGTGGGAACGCATCGGCCCCCAATCGCCCACTCATCGCCGACGAGGGCCCCGCGGCCCACCCCTCTCCCAGGAGCGTTCGGCCTCGCGGTCGGGAGCACATCGCCGATCGATCGGCGATGCATCGCCGCTTCACGCTCGATGTTTTCCCCCCTGAGCTGGTCCCTCCCTATTGCAGCTCCTCGCCCCCGCACAGCTGTTCGCGTCGCCGTCGGCTGCTGTTTCGAGTCGTCGCGAGCAGGATCTGTATGGAGCTCAGGGGCAACGTTCAGGGGGGATAGGCTCACAGGATAGGCTCAGAGAGGTTTCGATTGGTTCCTAAGTTCCCGAATGTTTCCGCGACCAGGGCGGGTTCCATCAGCTGCGCTTCGTCGCGGGCGTTCCAGGGGTGCCAGCATTGCCCCGACCGGCCGCTCGAAAGCATAGCGACGACCCGACAGCGAGGGCAGCGGGTCCTGGAGGCTTTTGGCCGCCTCCCCGTGCTGTGGGAGGGTCAAGAAACGATCCAGGTGGAGGGTTTCTCCGAAGGGCTCAGGCGACCCGTCCTTCTCCCCCCTCCTCCTCCTCCTCCTCCTCCTCCTCCTCCTCCTCCTCCTCCTCCTCCTCCTCCTCCTCCTCCTCCTCCTCCTCCATCTCCTCCTCCCCCTCCCCAAACTCCACCTCCTCCTCCTCGGGTCGCCTACGGCCCCAGGGGAAACCGTGCAGATCCAGGATGACGACTCTGTCCGGGGGGAAGCCTCGGGGGGCAGGACCCGTGCCCCTCGGGCCCCGCGCCCTTCCACCCGAGGAGGGCGTCGTCGTGTGTGACCGCCCGCGAGCACTGCCCCTGCGTGTCCAAGCGGAGCCATAGTGTCTGACGCCCCTGTTGTGGTTCGCCTGGTTGCTGGCTTGTGTCAGGAGGGAATTATCCCGGCAAAGCAACCTAACAGCGATGTGTAGAAGCATAGCTGGCAACATTGCCTGTGGTATTCATGTAAGAGTGCTGTTGTAGAATTCTGGTGTTCTCGCAGTCGCATTCGGATTCGCAGTGGCAGTCGCAGTGGCAACATCAACGGCAGTCGCAGTGGCACTGCCAGTAGTTGCAGTAGCAATAGCTACACTAGCAGCAGCAACAGCAGCAGCAGCAGTAATAGTAACAGTAGTAGTAGCAGTAGAAGTAGTAGTGATGGTAGTAGTGGTAACAGTGAAGTAGTAGTTGTAGTGTGTGGAGTGAACGAGTAGGAGTGATGGGAGCAGTGGTAGTAGTAGTAGAAACACTGCTTTCGATAACGGCATCTCCACATGAGATCTTTGTATAAAAGCATTGATGTCTAAACAAGACACTGCTATCAACGGATGTGATTCCAAACGAGACACTGCTGCTCCAAAACAGGCACTCCCATGAATGGATTTAATGCGATGTCGTAGTAGTGGCCTACAGTTGGCTCCGGGCATTCAAAATGTAACCCGGGAGTGGTGTTCTGGGAAGTCGAAGAGCACGAAGTGGACTACAGTTGGCTCCGGGCATCCAAAATGTGGCCCGGGAATGAGTTTTAGGAAGTCGAAGAGCACGAAGTGGCCTACAGTTGGCTCCGGGCATTCAAAATGTGGCCCGGCAGTGGAGTTCTGGGAGGTCGAAGAGCACGAAGTGTGCGACGGTTTGCTTAAAACGACCCCGGCCCTCGCCTGTCCGGCTCCCGCCCAGACCCCCCTGGGGAGTCATCTGATGCTTTCTTTTGACCCCATTAGAAACCTATCAGTCTTCGCTGTTCGGTAATTATTAATTATCCCGGCAAAGCAACCTAACAGCGATGTGTAGAAGCATAGCTGGAAACATTGCCTGGGGTATTCATGCAAGAGTGCTGCTGTAGAATTCTGGTGTTTTCGCAGTCGCATTCGGATTCGCAGTGGCAGTCGCAGTGGCAACATCAGCGGCAGTTGCAGTGGCACTGCCAGTAGTTGTAGTAGCAATAGCTACACTATCAGCAGCAACAGCAGCAGCAGCAGTAATAGTAACAGTAGTAGTAGCAGTAGAAGTAGTAGTGATGGTAGTAGTGGTAACAGTGAAGTAGTAGTTGTAGTGTGTGGAGTGAACGAGTAGGAGTGATGGGAGCAGTGGTAGTAGCAGTAGAAACACTGCTTTCGACAACGGTATCTCCAAATGAGATTTTTGTACAAAATGCACTGAGGTCTAAACAAGACACTGCGATCAACGGATGTGATTCCAAACGAGACACTGCGATCAACGGGTTGAGCCTCCAACTGCAGACTTGCATCAATGAATGTAGCTCCAAAACAGGCACTCCCATGAATGGATTTAATGTGATGTCGTAGTAGTAGTAGTAGTAATAATAGTAGTAGTAGTAGTAGTAGTAGTAGTAGTAGTAGTAGTAGTAGTAGTAGTAGTAGTAGTAGTAGTAGTAGTAGTAGTAGTAGTAGTAGTAGTAGTAGTAGTAGTAGTAGTAGTAGTAGTAGTAGTAGTAGTAGTAGTAGTAGTAGTAGTAGTAGTAGTAGTAGTAGTAGTAGTAGTAGTAGTAGTAGTAGTAGTAGTAGTAGTAGTAGTAGTAGTAGTAGTAATAGTAGTAGTAGTAGTAGTAGTAGTAGTAGTAGTAGTAGTAGTAGTAGTAGTAGTAGTAGTAGTAGTAGTAGTAGTAGTAGTAGTAGTAGTATGGGCACGGACCCGTAAGACCTGAGTCTCCACCGGGGTGCTCGGCGAAACCATTGATGATGATGTGACGATTGAGGAGGATGATGGGATGATGACCGCGCTACTTGGATTTATTATGTCCGTCTTTCTCGGCCTCCAACCAAATCTTGGAAGACATCTCGCAAACGGAAGAGGAGCGCACTGAGGAGCGGCGTGTGAAGCGGACAGTCGGCAAAACTTGCAGGCTGAGAAGCACCGCGCGTGCAGCAGCCACCGCCACTCTGGGTGCTCCGGATGCTGAACGCTGGACGCGTGCAGCCTTCCGTACGGGATCAAAGGCCACCGCTGCCTGTACTTGTCCACGTCCAAGAGCTTCTGCACGAGCTCCAGGGACTGCAAGTAGTACACCCCGCGGTGCTTCACCAGGGTCCGCGCGGGTCGCGCATTCGCCTCGCCCTCGGACGCGTCGTCCTGGTCGCTTGCAGGGCCCGCGCAGTGCTCGGATACACGGTCCTCCGGCACTGCGCCAAACAGGCTCAGTTTGTGGCGGTGTTCGAGGTAATCTTTCTGCGCACAGACTACGCAGGCTGCCTCGCATCGGTGCACTGCCTCGTTGCCCGAGAAGCGGTTGCCCTTGCTGCCCGGGTGACAGAACTGCTGGAAGTGAGCAAAATTCTGCACCATGAGCCTCTTTTCTTGGGCGGCTATCGGCCTGCAGCCAGCCTCCGCCATCAGGAACAGCACCCGTTTGCGGTATTCCGCCTCGCCCGCGTGGTCCTGCTGCTTGTGCCGCGCAAAGTCTTCCTCTGTAGGAAAGTCGCAGTCGCAGAGCTGGCACACGAGCGGCCCCGTCATGACGGGGCGGTCGGAGAAGACGCGCAGCTGGTCCCCCTCCACCTCGCCGCCGGGAACGTAGCAGCTCTTTCCCGCGGGGGCGGCCGACGCCTTGCGCACCCGCTCCGCGCACCGCTGCGCGAATTCCGTGCGTCGCGCAGAGAGGCTGGACACAAGCTCCTTGTAGGCGGCAAGGCGCCGCAGGATTGCCTTGGTCCGGATGCCACTCTCGAGCATCAGCAGGTCCTGGTCGATCCTGTTCTGCGCGTCCTCAGCG